TTCATATTTGTAGATGGAAATTATTTGGTTCCTGACCCTGAATCAATTGTGATAGGGAGAACGTATCATAACTTGGCTAGATGCGTACAAGTGTTGTTGTATATTAAATAATACATCACATACCAAATTTCATTTTGGTCGTTTTGTTCTCATAACCAATAGTTTGGCTATAATTGGAGGCATATAATTTCTGCTAAACCAACTTAGATTTATACTAGCATTATCAAGATAAATCATCATAATTTATATTGTAGAACTATATTCTAATAATTTGAGTAAGCAACCTTGCAAAAGCCAAAACTGCAAGTTCATAACAAATGCACATGTGACCAAAGAATAGATGCATCTATTAAAATCATATAATAGTAAACGGTCCACATGGCAGGTGACTAGGCCCATATATATATATATATATATATATATATAACCTTTTATGTTGAAAGGTTACAAGTACTTTACTTTATGTTTTGATGGTCTAACAAACTTACTATCCAGAACCAGATAAGGAACCTGTTGCACATTTACAAGACCTCAAGATCACAAGATCCCAAGATGAGATTCAGCGGGATTTTTATTCAACCTTTCAGAAGTGGAAGGAGCAGCTGAGGGACCAAGTCCCTACCAGTTCCCGAGGAGACTGCACGAAGTTAACTTTCCAGTTGGAAAGTTATTGCCTGCACATGCTACTGTGCAAAACACTGCTGCAGTCAACCTTCCAGGGAAGAATTTTCACCTACCTTGCTTGCATTATTGCAAGTGATGTCACACATGTATAAATGCATGCAAGGGAGGTAAAACAAATGACTTTGAACATTTGACAAGCTCATTAATGTGACTATCTAGCAAGCAAGTTTCAAGTGCTTCAAGAACAAAGAACAAAATAGTTACGGATCAGTTCCCACATAGAGTTATTGTATGTCCTTTGTTGAGTTGTAACTTTATAATAGTTCTTTAATTGTAATTCTTATCTAGCTTGTTTAGAAGCATTCTATAGGAAACCATTTGTAAACCTTAAACTAGTGTGTTTGAGTCTTGCTAGAGTCAGTCATATTGTAAAATCTTTATAATAGAGTTATTACAAAGTAGCTTGTAATAGAGTATTACAAGTTACTGAGGGATTAAGAGGTTAATTCCTAGATTGCATAAATTGTAATCTAAAAGTTGCTCAGTAGTGAAGTTGAAATCCTACAAGGGTAGGTCGTGGTTTTTAATCCCGTTGAGCTGAGAATTTTCCACGTAAAATTCCTCTTGCCATTTAATTATTGTTGTGTGTGTGTGTACTGTTGGACCTAATAGAGAACCTGGTTCTCTATAGAGTTTGGTGGAGCATTATATTGTATCAATTGGTATCAGAGTAGGTTCTTTCTATCAGGTTAACACCTAGAAAGGATCCTCATGGCTGCTTCTCCAAACTTCGAAGAAGGATAGTCTACTTACAGACCACCTAGGTTCAATGGACAGTATTATGAATGGTGAAAAACTAGAATACATGACTTCATCATGGCTGAAGATTCTGAACTATGGGATGTCATATGTGATGGATCATTTGTTCCTACCAAAAACCATGGCGACCCACCAGTAGCCTTTCTCAAGACAAGGAAATAATTCAACGATACAGATAGAAAGGCCATAGAGAAGAACTTTTATACTAAGAAAATTCTGGTATTAGACCAGATGAATACAACAGGATATCAGCATGTTAGTTAGTCAAAGAAATCTGGGAAGACCTGCAGACAACTCTGAAGGAACAACACAGGTCAAACAGTCAAAAATCGACATGCTCACAACTGAATACGAGCTCTTCAGGATGCAAGACAATGAATCTGTCCAAGAAATGCATACCCAGTTCACCTCCATCATTAATGAGTTTCACTCCCTTGGTAAAACTATTGCAAGAAACAAGCTGGTTAGAAAGATCCTAAGCATGCTACCCAGTTCTTGGGAAAGCAAAGTGAATGTCATTACAGAGGCAAAGGACTTGCAGGAGCTAACTATTAATGAACTTGTTGGCAATCCAAAAACATACGAGATGAAAAAGAAGAAAGACAGTGAAAGAAGAGAGCCCAATAAGGAGAAGAACCTGGTCCTCAAAACAGAAAACAATGAGAAGCTGTGAAGATGGTGATATGACATACCTAACAAGAAGATTCCAGAAGATGGTTTGCAGGAATGTTGGCATTCCAAAAAGGGAAAGTTATAGCAAGCCAAAGAATTATGATCTCTTTCATAAATGTGGCAAGCCAGGACATTTCATGAAGGATTGCCCTCTCCTAAAGCAGTATCAGTACAAGAACAACTCTGACAAAGCAGCCAAAAGGAACCTGGTTCATGACAGATGCTTCAATAGAAAAAATGTCGCCGACAATATTGTGAGACAAGCTCTTGCTGCATGGGGAGATTCATCAAGTGAATCTGGAGAAGATGATGAACCAGGTAACAACTCTATGATGGCAATAGAAAGTGAATCAATCGAGTATGATTCAATTTTTGCTTTGATGGCCCAGTCTGACGATGAAGATAACGATGATTATGAGGTAAATTTTCTGGATGTTCAAGGAAATCTGAAATCTTATTCTCCTAAGAAACTCATGTCTTTGGCAAATGTGCTAATCGACACTTATCATAGTCTTGTAAATGACAGAGATGTCTTAACAGTTGAACTAGGAGAAGTAGAATAGTCTAGAGATAACCTAGTAATAGTTGCAGTCGATCTAAGAGAGTCAATTAAGAACCTGAAGAAAGAAAGAAATGTCTTAAAGAAAAGGATTGAAAATGTAGAACAAGAAAGAGATGACCTTCTAGTGGTAGTAATGGACTTGAAGGAAACGATTGGGAAACCTACAATGGAAAGTAGGGATGAAAATTATCAAAAAGGAAAGGAAGTTGCAAGCGAGGCACATATTAAGCTTGAGAAATGAACTAAAGACAATGCAGTATAGTCTGTGTGCTGAGCTTGAGAAAAACAAACAACTTCAGGAAGACCTAGGTAGAGTGAAGAGTGATCTTGAAAAATCACTCAAGTAGACCTGGTCCTCTGATGGTATCACTGCCATGTACTCCAACAATAGGGGAAATAGGAAGGGGATTGGGTTTCAAAGGTAAAAGATCCTTACAACCCTTATAGCAAGTATGTTAATGTACCTGACAATTGGCTTTGCACCCACTGCGGTAACAATGGGCACCTTAAGAATACTGTAAGGCCAGATGTTAGTCACAGCAAAAAATAAAGCCTTTGCTGAAAAAGTAACTACTAGTAGAAAACCTGGTCTCTCATTTAAAAAATGCATAATGCCTGCATGGAACAAAAGATCCGTTATTCACCGATAGACATAAAGACGACTTGTGGTGGATGTAGTCATTTTAGGTTTTAATCAGGAAATACATGAAAAACCTGATATGCATATAATGAAAATCATTGAAGGATTTAAACTATTCTGAAGTATCTTAAGGTTCCAAAGAAATTTATTAAATAAAGCTTCAACAAATTCTTATGTGAGCGAATAACATACATGATTTGTTTTTGTGTCTAGTGTAATTGGTACACTAATGTATCTTACTAGAACTATGAGTATAATAATATGCTAGCAAGATATAGTTTTATTCCTATATGAAGGTATTGGAATACTATTAGGATTATATTGCAAAAGGAATCCTTGATATAGATTTGTTTATTCTAACAAATATTGTCAAGGTTTTGTTGGTTATACAAATGCAAGCATTTTCTAAAGTTCGTTCTTCAAACAATCTATTTATATGTGAGGGTACTATCATATTATACTTTCACAAGACTGTCAATTATTGATTCAAGTCATACTAAGATATTAACAAATGATAAAGCAAGTACCTCAATACACAATAGATGTGTGACTTTTCTTTGAAAAAGAAGATAACAATAATATTGAAGACAATAATGCTTGCATATCTCAATTGGAAGAAAAATATATTGAAGGCAACAAAATAAAGCACATTTCACCAAAGTTCTTTTCAGACATGATTTTTGGCAGATTGATGATGTAGATGTTAAACAAATTTATTTGATTGATACTTTGGTGGATATGTTCAATGAATCATTACCAACCTCAACATTTGAGAAGCTGGAATATAGGATTGGAATGCGTCATTTCCGAATTTTCAAAAAATAAAGTGATGCTTTCATCAGGGGAAGGCAAATACGCGTTGTACTCTTTTTCTCTTAGCTACAATTTTATCCCACTAGTTTTCTTGGCAAGGTTTTTAATGAGGCAACAAGCAATGCGTATTACATGATATGTGTACTCTTTTTTGTTCACTAGAATTTTTTTCCATAAGTTTTTTTTCTAGTAAGGTTTTAACGAGGCACATTATCTATGGATATCCAATGGGGGGTGTTATAAAATGTTGAATTATGGTGGATGTCCATAACTACCAAAGGAGTAATGCTCACTACTCTTCTCCATTATCTCCATAACTCTCATTACTTTAATACTTATGGAATTATGATTGTAACTCCATAATCTCCCCCATGATCTTCCTCTTAAATGCTTAATGACATATACAATGACATATTTATATAGTGACTATTCCACTCAATAGTGGTCATTTCTCTCAATAGTAGTCATTCCACTCACTATTTTACAATAGTGATTCTTCATTTTTCATGCGTATATAAAGGCCTTGTAATAAATAGCAAATATCACACAATTGAAGAAAAAATAAGAATATATCTTCTTTTTCTCTCTATATATCTCTTAATTTGTTTTTTCTTATTCTATATTGTTACTTTGAGTTATATCTCGTAATTTTATTTAATTTCTTTCGGGTCTCTCTCTAAAAAAAAATAGACTATTGTGCATATAACTTAAACTTTAGATAAAATAAAAAATAAAAAATAAAAATCTATTGCTTCACACTGGGCGTTATTGCACAAGGGTTCGAGCTGAGGTGGTAGAGATGAGACAAAAACACAGATTTTGGTGAGAAGTCTTTTGAGGTCTTTAATTACTTTTAATGGAATTTCAGTGGACCCAATCATCTTTCTTAACTCATCCACATCCACATCCGCTTTCTGCTGTCCAACCAAACTTCTTCTTCTATCCAAGTGAAGTTAAGCCATTCTTTTTATGTCACTTAATTATGTAGTACCCTTGAGGTTGAGGCTGAGGGGATATACTATTTTTTTGTGGAACATAGTTTGAGTATCAAATATTCTCCCCAATGCCAGGAACAATCCAAGTTTCAGGTACTAAAAGCTCTGCTAATTTCAATTTTGTATTCCAAATTAGTGAAATGATCTTAGTTTAACTCAATTTGGTGTTTTATGTTCAACATAGTGTTGGATTTCAAGAATATATCATCTTCAGCACAGTCTTCCTCAATTTGCTTATGGGGTTAGTAATTTCTTTTTCCTTTGTTTGTTTTTAGAGTGTTTCTGTAGTTGCATTTTTTAAGGGTAGCCTTAGAGCAACGATAAAGTATCTATGTGACCTATAGGTCATGGGTTCGAACCTGGTAGCAACCACTAATGCTTGCATTAAGTTAGGCTGGCTACATCAATGCCCATTGGCGTGGCCTTCCCCGGATCCTACGTGAACGTGGGATGCCTTGTGTACCGGGTTACCCTTTCTGTAGTTGCATTTCAAAATTGACTTGGGGTTTGATATGTTTTGTGTAGTTTCCATGGGGAAGAGAGCATACCAAACGTGGGACAAAGGAGACTTCTCCTTGTAATGTTTCAAACGCCTGTATATCTTTATTCTTCATGCTTTCAGCACAAAGCTTGATTAATGTATTTGTGAATTTTAATTATCCCTTTACAGCCCATTAACAACATTTCGCGAAAATTTGGTTGTTAGACTTCAGGATGCTGAGGGAAATGAGATATCACGTGCAGGTTATATCGTCCTTGTATTTAAAGTTTGATATTATCTTGTATAAAGGTTATTGACACTGAGTTTCTCTTTTACAGAAGTTCAGACCTTATCCATAGTTGAGAAGGGTTATTGGGACGATTTTTTCCAACTTGAAGGAGGTGATTATGTACATATGAAGTTGCAATTCATTCTCAGTGAAGATGAACGCAACCGAATTCGTAATGTGGTAATATATACTACTGTTCCTCACTAGTTTTATTCAGAAGGGATACTGAATAATTTGGATACCTAACCTCAAAACATGTTCCCACCCTACTGGTACATGGTGTTTCTAAAAGGATTTTAAAAGTACTTAAAGTTTTCTTTTTTCCTATGCTTTAAACTTTTGATAGCCTTGACAATGCTATCAGCATATGTATAATGGTATCTCGATTGGCTTGGCAGAGAGAATCTGCTCTGAAGAAGAAACAATACATAGTTCCTGCAACAAATGTTGAATATAAAGGAACAACTATTCCTGTGGGAGATACATTTGCATCATCTCTGCCCATCAGAAGGAAGTTTTCAGGTTTGATCACACATTCTAAGAACTATATTAAGGAAAGAAAGATAAGGGAATAATATTTACGATGGAGTATTCCCCCGTTGTAGTTTTTCTTAGAAATATTTATGGCCGACGTGTCTAGTTATTAGATTTTAGCTAGATTTATTCCAGTAATTCAAGAGTAGGAGAATTCCATTCGGGCTTTGCAGCTTACTGAAGATGGAAGTTGAATGAATTAGCACTGTGGTGACTACGTAGAAAATGCATAGTAGCTTAATGAGGTCAAAATTTGCTTTTTAAGTGAAGAATTATAACCGAGTAGATTGCTAAGAGTTTTGATAGCAAATCTGCCTGTTTAGAATGCCACAGATAGAAGTGAAGCAACCTCATCTTCACCTGTGAAAGAAATGGTTCAAATACAATATTCTGAGCCTGACAGACCATCAGCTAAGAAGCTTCAAACTCCGCTAATACGTGATTATATTTCTGTAAAACCTGTTAATGAGCAAGATGCTCAGTCTATGTTGAAGAATGATGTAGCTGCAAAGAAAGAGTCTCTGCCTCAAAAGACGATTGTTGATCCATCTAATAAGTCTCAGGATCAAAGTGCTCAGTCTATGTTGAAGATAGATGTTGCTGCAAAGAAAGAGTCCATATCCCAAACGAAGATTGTTGATCCATCTAATAAACCTCAGGATCAAAGTGCTCAGTCTATGTTGAAGATAGATGTTGCTGCAAAGAAAGAGTCCATATCCCAAACGAAGATTGTTGATCCATCTAATAAACCTCAGGATCAAAGTGCTCAGTCTATGTTGAAGATAGATGTTGCTGCAAAGAAAGAGTCCATATCCCAAACGAAGATTGTTGATCCATCTAATAAACCTCAGGATCAAAGTGCTCAGTCTATGTTGAAGATAGATGTTGCTGCAAAGAAAGAGTCCATATCCCAAACGAAGATTGTTGATCCATCTAATAAACCTCAGGATCAAAGTGCTCAGTCTATGTTGAAGATAGATGTTGCTGCAAAGAAAGAGTCCATATCCCAAACGAAGATTGTTGATCCATCTAATAAACCTCAGGATCAAAGTGCTCAGTCTATGTTGAAGATAGATGTTGCTGCAAAGAAAGAGTCCATATCCCAAACGAAGATTGTTGATCCATCTAATAAACCTCAGGATCAAAGTGCTCAGTCTATGTTGAAGATAGATGTTGCTGCAAAGAAAGAGTCCATATCCCAAACGAAGATTGTTGATCCATCTAATAAACCTCAGGATCAAAGTGCTCAGTCTATGCTGAAGATGGATGTTGCTGAAAAGAAAGAGTCTGTGTCCCAAAAAAAGATTGTTGATGCCTCTAATAAACCTGAGGATCAAGGTGTATTGGAGAAAACTCCTAGCAGTGTCAGGAATATGATAAGTGCGTTTGAAATCGGCCTTGCTCAGGTACTTCTACTCTCCAGCTTATTCTAGGGTGAAATATGCCGTGTAGTGAACTTGCTAAGCTGATAACCTTTTTCCTTTTGTTTACATGAAACTTCGAAAATATTGAACTGACTGCATACATCAGAAGAAGGGGAGAAGATCGCTTACAAGGAATCGAGCATCAAAATCCCAACCAAATTTAGTTGGAATAGGAGGCTCTGTAAAAGATTTGGATCCAGAGGACACTGCAAGGCCTAATAAGATGAGTTCACTAAGAGTAGAAAGACCTCTTAATACTGGGAACTTGCCAGAACCTCAAAGTAATATTGGCAAAAGAGGGGAAATTAGTTTTCCTGAGCAAGATATTGTTGGTAAAGGACAGCCCGTGTTCCATGAAAAGTTGAAGCAGTCAAGTGTGTACATTGTCGCATTTAATGAAGCAGGCTCAAGTCAGCAGGAAACTTTAAGATCTGCTGAAAAGGAGTTTAATACTGGAGCTACTTCACCTGTAGATTTGATGAGAGGAGAAAGTAGTTCACTTGAGCAAGATATTGTTGGTACAGCACAGTCCGTGTTCCATGAGCAGTTGAAAGAGTCAAGTGTCCACATTGTCCCATTTAACGAAGCAGGCTCAAGTCAGCAGGATACCTTAAGATCTGCTAAAAAGGAGCCAAATGCTGTAGCTACTTCACCTATGGATTTGATGAGATTATCCAACCTGGAAACAGCTACTAGCTCCCAAAGAATTAATGTGGCTCATTCAGATATGCTGAAAGCTAATAATTTAGCTGCTGGCCAAGATTGTTCCAATGATCCTTCAGTTGCAGAACAACGAAACACAGAAATTAGATCAGAGGCTTTACTAGAAGTTCATATTGAAAGGGTTCCAAATGAGAAACCAAAATTAATAGCGTATTGCGAAAATGAGCATTATGACTCTGAAAATTCTGGTGTATGGATATTTCCGGATAACAAAAATCGTGTCTGTATAACAACTGCAGGCGAAAGCGCAGTGCATTTATTGGAAGATTGCCACATTGGAGTAGATGATCATCAAAGGAATAAGAAACCACCTAAGCAAGAAATTACACGGAAGGTACTTGAGTATCCTTGCCTATCTCCTTTAAAAGTTCAGTAGTATCCCAGAAGCTAGTCCACTATCCTTTGCGGTAAACTTGATAGAAAAATCTGCATGTTGCTTTATCACACATATCTACTAACAATTCATCATACTGATCATGTCACCAACTCATCATTGTGTGATTAAAATAATTGTTAAAACATTTGGTCCTATGGGAAGATGATTTTGTTTGCTTGAACGAGTTGCTGCAAAGATAACTGTTTACCAATTGGTTTCATGGATGCAGCGTGGTTTTTTCCATAAAAGTGACTCCACGATAAAGAAAGGAGAAGAGAAGCCACAAAAGCCAAGAAAATCTCAGTCTGAGAGCTCTGGACAAAATGGCCCTTCTGGACCCATTAGACAGGTCACATATGCATATTTTTGTTGATTCATACATTTATATATTAGTGTGTCAATTGGATGTCTGCTATCTAACTGTAAACTTAGGGAAGCACAGCAATCAGCATCCTGCAGCAGTTAGATGGTTTGAACTGAATATTTTAGTTTTGACTCTTTACCTTTAAAATTGAACCATACATCTCATTCTCTTCAGATCTAGATGCAAATTTCAAAATTCTACCCGATCATTTATCTTTGCTTAAGTATAACAAGTATTAATAAGGGCTATAAAATGCATGCTTCGGACAATCATTAATGGACAGGACTATCAGAAGTCCTTCCCTTGATAATGAATTGCTTCAGTCCGCATTTGTATTGATCATAGAAGAACAAGAATAATTTCAAGAGTGACCAATGCTTGCTATTGTCTACGTTTTTCAGGTGATAAAAATTGCAGTTATTGTAGGGTTTGGAATATTAGTTCTCCTCACCAGACAAAAAGAAACCAGGTGTGCATCACATGTATTCCCTTCAATCTTCTCTTCTGTCTTCTTGCCTCATTGGTGTAACTGAAGAAATTCTTTCAACAGGAGAAATGACAGAAAATCGAAGGAGTTTTATTTCGCTAGTCCAGATTTCATCGATCAGTTGGCATCTTCAGAAGAAAAATGGAGTCTATTAACCGCAGAAGGAAATTGATTCATCGCCTTCTCCCAAGACAAGGCTAACCTTTTGGCGATCTTGTTGGCTTCATAAAGGATATATCTGGTTGAATTGCACTTTCGTTGATACTGAATCTTGTATTTTGGAAATAATGGTCTGTCACTCTTTGGCATTGATCTAAACATTTCTTTTCGTGCATTTCGCAATGTATTTTAAATATTCTTTCTCCGTATATGTAAGAGAAACAGCCATTTTGGTTAATAATGAGTACAACACATCTTTCCTGTATATGATTAAGGTCTTGTTAATATGAAAATGAGAATAAAGATTGCAGTAAATTGGGCAATACAAGTTTGAATTAGGCCAGCTTCACTATAAATAAGAGATTTTGAATGTTCCTCAATCCTGGCCACAACTTTTGTTTTTTACCTTGACGATAAAAACTTACCGTGTTTACACCAAAATATCAAATCAATAAATACGTGACACATGTTTAGCTGTTCATTTTCTAAGAGGAAAGTGGAAAAAGGGAAAGAAAAAGAAGAAAAGAGAAGAATGTAGGTTTTTGGATGTGTTTAGGCATGCAAATTTAATGTGAATCAGTTCCTTATATAGGTCTAGTAGTAGCCCATTCTATTCCTAAAGTTTACAAGCACTTTGACTTAATTCCAGATGATATTTGTCCTAATTCAAGCAAATTCTCAAAAAATTAAACAGATCGCACTTCAAAATTTAATGGCTTTAGAGTTTCCACAATGCATGGCTCTACTTGCCCAATCGTATTTTCCTCACAGTGAAATATTCTTTGATTAAATGGACATTGTATTTGTTATCATCAAAATCAATTAATAAAACATTTGGAGGTAATAAGTACAAGGGCATAAAATAGATGATACTACAATTTATAATTCATCTCATGAAATTTTTTAATATCTACATTTTACTTATTTAAAGTAAACTAATATACGTTGATATAGGTGTATACGGTCGAAATCAAACTCGCCTACGGCATGATAGGTTAGACTTGGAACATGGCAATAAAGGATTGAAGACCGACCCCAAGTCTCACCGGGCTAGAACCCGAGGTTAGAACGTCTGCCTTCGAAGTATCGAGGTCGTAATCCCGGAATTGATCCTAGCCCCGAACGAGCTCGGAGTAACATTGTTAGCATAGCCAGCAGAAGACCGAAATATTTGTGGCCGGTCGAATATTACGGCAAAAAATATCGGCATGTATCAAAAAGGGACTAGCAATCAGTAAATCAAGAGATTTTTTTAACTTTTATAGAATTGTACCTAAAGTATGACTCCTCTACTATATAAAAGGAGTCTCGTAATTCATAAAAGTATGGTAACACTCATTCCAAAGCTATACATTATTATTTTCTTTCTTTAAGCTCTTATTCTTCTGTATCTTGATATCAATCGAAGTGCATCATGTTCGAGTGTGACTGACCTCCCAAGACTGTAACTGTCCAATTCGTGTGGTTTGGGTTTATTTTATTGTAAGCACGTGATTTTTGCTTCACGAGCAATCNGGAGTATTCGGACGGGCAAAAATCGCTCGCTTTATCTTTGCGCGAAAACCCTTCGTGTCTTCGTGCAAAGAGGGGCAGCTGTAAGCACGTGATTTTTGCTTCACGAGCAATCACTCCAAAAGGAAAACAAAAAAAAAATAGTGACAAATGATTTCGCTGTACAATTTTTCAATCTTTCCGTAACATGTGTTGTTGGTCATTTATGGGTCTGTCCATTTTGCATCCAGTCATTATCAAACAAAAATACAAAAATATGTGTCAGTAAAAGAAAATTCAAAATATATATATATATATGTGTGCATCGTTTGTTCTAGGCTTTTAGTTAACTTACTTAAATATTTTGTGATAATTGTGTTAAAATGTTACATTGTTGTTTAGTTTTAATTTCGTTATTTTATTATCTATTATTTT